TTGATGAATTTCTCCAACCATGTATGATGTGAATTTAATCAAAAGTACGATATTTCAAACAAGTGGCGACAAATAGAGTTTAGAAATCCTAGAAAAACTATAAACTACAGTAAATTGCTGGCAAGCCCTAACCCATTACATCACCAAACTGGATGTAGAAAAACTTGACCTGACTGCACATCCGTTTAGGGCGACAGGTAGCGGTAGCTTATACGTTCGACTTTCTGTAAGTATTGATATTATATTTGCAATTCGATCAAGTATCAGGCTTCTATTATCAATATTTTTATCACACTAATTGAGAACAAATTGTAAAACATATAGTTAAACAAAAGAATCAAATCACTATGTGATGTCACGGGTAGCTTTGATTATATGTAAAAAAAAGCAAAAATTAATTGGGTCGAAGTAATATACAATTTGAAAATGCTGGGGTCTAAGAAGTTAAATGTACGGAGTATTATTTCGAGTTGCTGATGTAAAAAATGTTTCAACATCGGCTATTCGAAGTATGAGTACAGTACTGGTTTTAAAATATATCATTCGCACATATTCGAAACTATTTCTAAAAACCGTTCAAATACAAATGTTAAGTATTTTACTCTAAAACTGTTAGTATCACTCTTAAAAATTGTTACTTGGATTTCATTATATTGAGAAATTGTACTACTCATTTTAAGTCAAAAATTACTTAAATAATCTTGAACTACTGAATAATTTATAAGTAATTTTTAAGTAATTCATTTATGGTGAATTTACTAATGCAAGGAGAGAAATTGAAATACTTACTGTAGTAATTGTAATACTCATTTACATAATTAAGCAATTAAAAAACTCAAAATGACAATATAAGTTAAACCTAAGTAAGATGAAGTAAAACTAAGTATTTAACTTTAAGTAATTTTTATACTTGGGAAATACTCACTAAGTAATTTATTTTCAAGAGTGATCTTGTTTTAAATTTCCATCCATACAGTCAAGAGTTCCAGGTACGTGGCTTGAATAGGGCGTTTCATTTTCAAGAATGTTCTCAGATTGCAACGTTCCTTTAACACGGGTTTAAAAATGATGCTGGTGGTTCACTGATGAACAAAACCCGATAACGTTCAGACTGGTCCGTCAGCCATTTTCCCATCCAATTGGATTATATTGCGACCGACTTCAACTTTTCAATGGAATGGTTGGAACCAACGTTTCTGTTATATGTGTTTGGAAATACATCAAAACACTCACCATTGTTGCAAACTAGAATGTTCTAGCATTTTTCTCCGAGACATTGTCAATCTGTTAACCTGGGGGTCAAAAAATAAAAATCGATTTCAGCCGATTTAATTCTTAAACCATGTTTCACTATATTTACAATGGGATACTTTGTTACTTTATGATCTAAATTTTTGGAAATATTCAAATTATAAATATTCAATTATTCATAACAGCGAGGGGTACAATGAGTTGAATGACTCTACGCCTTCAACAGAGTTGATGCCAATAGGTTAAATAGTTTGTTACATTGACTGCCAAGAGTGACAAGCTAAAGGTGAAATTAAGGAAGTTTCATCCTTAATCCTAAGGGAGTATTAGATCTAGCAAGCAACATTGAAAAATATATTGGGCTCGAATTACTTATATCTTGTCTATTTTCTAGAATTACTCAAAATTGCATACAAAACTAAATATTTTACAATAAAACATTCATTTCTTCTTAAAATGTGTTTACCATATTTATTATTTTGGAATTTGAACATTTGTTCCATGCACAACATTCCGCGGTCTTTTAGGAGATATTATACTGATAATAAGATATTTGAATTTGTTTACACATGTTACCAGCAATTTTGCCATCTGAATATAGAGTTGATTTTCCGCTTTACTGGGATTGACACACGTTATCGAAATAACCATGGTCAAGTTTAGCTTGCTAATTTCACAAATGAATAAACATCGATGATAGTTTTATTCGGAGAATAACCGGCAACATTCTGAATTTCAATTTTGATTCCATGCCAAAAAGCTGGATCGGAATTAGTGAACTTGACCATTGCAAAAAGTTTCATTAAAGATATGTTATTTTAGCGATTTCGTATCATTCAGATGATAAGGTATAAACTATTTTGCAAAGTGTGAAAAGAATTTAAACCAAGAACAAACTACATTGTATAATAATCATTCATTTCAGGCGTAGTTTCCTAAAATTAACACTCGATGCACCGCATCTCGTGTAAATATTGGAAAGCAATACCTTCAACGCATGGTCATTTCAAATTGCATTGCGTTCAGGATTTACATCCTTAATAAATTAAGAGATAGAAAACCGTGACCTACCTGATTTTAAAATTGCGCGATGGGCATGCGGAAACAAATATTTAGGCAACAAATCAAATAATAAAATACGTCATTTGAGTGTAAAGTCATGAGAGTTAGAAATGAATGTAAATGTATTGGTTCAAACAATACAATACAATACATTGCAATACAATAGAATACAATATACTCCAATACAAAACAATACTATATACATATAGTACTAAGCAAAGGTAAAAATTTAATTTATTAATTAAAGGCTACTCTTATCAAATATTTAATATGAATTGTCACTTCGGGAAAATCGTTACATAATCGTATTAAAGGAAATCCCACCTACTCTATAATCTTAACTATCATTGTTTTTTCACTTTTGTGATAAGCCATAGCTGGAAGAGAGACGATTGTAACCCCACCTACTCCATACACTTAACTATTATTGTTTTTTACTTTTGGTGATAAGCCATAGCTGGAAGAGAGACGATTGTTACCCCACCTACTCCATACACTTAACTATTATTGTTTTTTTCACTTTTGTGATAAGCCATAGCTTGAAGAGAGCCGACTGTAACCCCACCTACTCCATAAACTGAACTATTATTGTTTTTTTCACTTTTGTGATAAGCCATAGCTGGAAGAGAGACGATTGTAACCCCACCTACTCCATACACTTAACTATTATTGTTTTTTCACTTTTGTGATAAACATAGCTGAAAGAGAGACGATTGTAACCCCACCTACTCTATAAACTTAACTATTGTTGTTTTTTCCAGTTTTGTGTTAAGTCATATCTGAAAGAGAGATGATTGTAACCCCACCTACTCCATACACTTAACTATTATTGTTTTTTCACTTTTGTGATAAACATAGCTGAAAGAGAGACGATTGTAACCCCACCTACTCTATAAACTTAACTATTGTTGTTTTTTCCAGTTTTGTGTTAAGTCATATCTGAAAGAGAGATGATTGTAACCCCACCTACTCTATAAACTTAACTATTGTTGTTTTTTCCAATTTTGTGTTAAGTCATATCTGAAAGAGAGACGATTGTAACCCCATCTACTCCATTAACTGAACTGTTATTTTTTCCAGTTTTGTGATAAGTCATAGCCGAAAGAGTGATAGAGAGATGGCCTTCTTAAATCCAGTTGTAATATTGTTGGTGATACACGGTTCAGGTAAAACAATAAAAGGACTGTACTTTAAATTGTAAATTGAAAAATATACATGATATATATGAATAAGCAAGTTGCTTTAACTTGGATTACTTCCAATCGAGAAAAGGTATGTTTCTCTATTAATAAAGACAAAATTGTAGTTGCTTTATGATTGAAGATTGGTATTAAGGCTTCATTAAATATACAGGCTGGGCAATGAATACAATCATATTTGTGTTACTTCGCTATACCTGCTAGTTGCATAAATAATTTACAAGAGATAATATATTTATGTATGGCCATTTATTTCATTATAAAATATCCCATATATCCCTATTTTTTGCATAGGTTTAATCACTGCACAGGAAACAACTATACGGCCAGCTGCACCGGGTACAACAACTCAACCAGGTACAATGTTTTCAATGAATAAGAAACTAGATTGTGTATATATTATTTGATTTCCATGTTATCTCCGCAAGTGCGTTCAACTGCAGGAAGCTCAATGAAATAAATGGATACATTTAAACCATCCTATTACAAAACATTTAACTTTTTAAATTGGCTGTGCCATTCAGTTGACAACTGTGGTACTTTGTAATACTATCACATACTATAGCTTAAATATGCGTACTACTACTGATAAAGACTTACACTCTTAAAAATTATTACTTGAATTTCCTTATATTGAGAAATTGCACTACTCATTTTAAGTCAAAAATTACTTAAATAATCTTGAACTACTGAATAATTTTCAAGTAATTTTTAAGTAATTCATTTATGGTGAATTTACTAATGCAAGGAGAGAAATTGAAATACTTACTGTAGTAATTGTAATACTCATTTGCATAATTAAGCAATTAAAAAACTCAAAATGACAATATAAGTAAAATGAAGTAAAACTCAGTATTTAACTTTAAGTAATTTTTATACTTGGGAAATACTTGGGAAATACTCAAGTAATTCATTTTTAAGAGTGTAACTGTTACATATAGTCAAAAATATGTCAAGCTGTTTACATAAACCAATATTTAAAAATAAGTGTTGGAAAATGGTTAGATTTTGGATGTGATTTCGATTGTCTGTTGTAGCTCAAATGTTTGTCAGTCATTCAGCATGGGTATAATGCATTTCCAAAGGACCGCGAGTTGTTTGTAGAATGAATCTGTGGAGCTTTTTCATGCATTTCGCTTTTTTCTATCAGTCAAATATTTGGATACCGATTCACAAGATATGTCAAAAATGTAATTCTTGTGTGTAATTTCAAGATTTTACAACTTCTACAATAACAACAACAATACCTTCTACTTCAACAACAACAATGCCTTCTACTATAACAACAACAATGCCTTCTACTACAACAACAACAATGTCTTCTACTTCAACAACAACGATGCCTTCTACTACAACATTAACAATGCCTTCTACTACAACAACAACAGTGCCTTCTACTACAAGAACAACAATGCCTTCTACTACAACAACAACAATGCCCTCTACTTCAACAACCTCAACGATGCCTTCTACTACAACAACAACGATGCCTTCTACTACAACAACGATGCCTTCTACTACAACAACAACGATGCCTTCTACTACAACAACAACGATGCCTTCTACTACAACAACAACAATACCTTCTACTTCAACAACAACGATGCCTTCTACTACAACAACAACAATGCCTTCTACTACTTCAACAATGATGCCTTCTACTACAACAACAACAATGCCTTCTACTACAACAACAACGATGCCTTCTACTACAACAACGACGATGCCTTCTACTACAACAACAACGATGCCTTCTACTACAACAACAATGATGCCTTCTACTACAACAACAACAATGCCTTCTACTACAACAACCTCAATGCCTTCTACTGCAACAACAACGATGCCTTCAACTACTACAACAACGATGCCTTCTACTACAACAACAACAATGCCTTCTACTAGAACAACAATGATGCCTTCTACTGCATCAACAACGATGCCTTCTACTACAACAACAACGATGCCTTCAACTACTACAACAACGATGCCTTCTACTACAACAACAATACCTTCTACTTCAACAACAACGATGCCTTCTACTACAACAACAACAATGCCTTCTACTACAACAACAACAATGTCTTCTACTTCAACAACAACGATGCCTTCTACTACAACATTAACAATGCCTTCTACTACAACAACAACAATGCCTTCTACTACAAGAACAACGATGCCTTCTACTTCAACAACAACGATGCCTTCTACTTCAACAACAACGATGCCTTCTACTACAACAACAACAATGCCTTCTACTAGAACAACAATGATGCCTTCTACTTCAACAACAACGATGCCTTCTACTACAACAACAACGATGCCTTCAACTACTACAACAACGATGCCTTCTACTTCAACAACAACGATGCCTTCTTCTTCAACAACAACGATGCCTTCTACTACAACAACAACTATGCCTTCTACTACAACAACAACGATGCCTTTTACTACAACAACGATGCCTTCTACTACAACAACAACGATGCCTTCTACTACAACAACGATGCCTTCTACTACAACAACAACAATGCCTTCTACTAGAACAACAATGATGCCTTCTACTTCAACAACAACGATGCCTTCTACTACAACAACAACGATGCCTTCAACTACTACAACAACGATGCCTTCTACTTCAACAACAACGATGCCTTCTACTTCAACAACAACGATGCCTTCTACTACAACAACAACTATGCCTTCTACTACAACAACAACGATGCCTTCTACTACAACAACGATGCCTTCTACTACAACAACAACGATGCCTTCTACTACAACAACAACGATGCCTTCTACTATAACAACAACTATGCCTTCTACTACAACAACAACGATGCCTTCTACTACAACAACGATGCCTTCTACTACAACAACAACAACGATGCCTTCTACTGCATCAACAACGATGCCTTCTACTACAACAACAACGATGCCTTCTACTACAACAACAACAGTGCCTTCTACTACTACAACAACGATGCCTTCTACTACAACAACAACGATGCCTTCAACTACTACAACAACGATGCCTTCTACTACAACAACAACGATGCCTTCTACTACAACAACAACGATGCCTTCTACTACAACAACGATGCCTTCTACTACAACAACAATAACGATGCCTTCTACTACAACAACTTCTACTACGACGACCACATCAACTACACAAGAAAATTATCATGGTAAAATATATCTCAATCATTTGTCTTCATACTCCTTGTCAAAAATCAATAGGTTACCTAAATTAGGTAACCTAATTCATACCACTAAAAATAGTATGGGTTTCTAGTGCGGACCCTTTGACAATGTTTGACAATTTTATACAATAAATACATCGTATAAGTAAAATAAATAAAATGTGATGGACTTTTTGTAGATTCCCCTTGCAATACTGGTATTTCAATTCCCTGGAACGGTGGTTTCCAGTGCATTTGTCCACCAAACAAACAAGGCAAAAACTGCAGTGAAGGTAAGGAATTTGAAAGAGTACAAAACCCCAATATTTACATATTTGAATACTGGTATTTCCATTCCCTGTGTACGGTGGTTACCAGTGCATTTGTCCACCTAACAAACGAGACAAAAACTGCAGTGAAGGTAAGCAATCTGAAAGGGTAGAAAACCCCAATATTTAGATATTTCAGAATTCTGGTATTTCCATTCCCTGGAACGGCGGTTACCCGTGCATTTGTCCGCCCAACACACAAGGCAAAAACTGCAGTGAAGGTAAGCAATTGAAAGAGAAAAAAAACAATATTTCCATATTTGAATTCTGGTATTTCCATTCCCTGGAACGGTGGTTACCAGTGCATTTGTCCACCAAACAAACAGGGCAAAAACTGCAGTGAAGGTAAGGAATTTGAAAGAGTAGAAAAATACAATATTTACATATTTGAATACTGGTATTTCCATTCCCTGGAACAGTGGTTACCATTCCATTTGTCCACCAAACAAACAAGGCAAAACCCGCAGTGAAGGTTAATATTTTAAAGGGTAGGAAATTCAAATATTTTATTCAATGGAAACCCATGAACACTTTGTTTCTCTAATCGACCCATTTATTTTCAGATGTTCCAAATGCAGATAGTTGCACATGGCCTGGGAATGGTAAGTACTACAAAATTAATAAAATATGTACATGTACAGGATGGGCCAAAAAAGCCACTTTTTCAAAATGCTTTAACTTTTTAATTTTTGATACAAAATCAAAAGACCGCGTGCAGTATGGCGAGTGATGAGTCCTCCCTGGGCATAAATACAGTGGTTTTATTAAAACAATATGTTTTCTTTCAAGTGAAGAACCCATGATGATAAAAATATCAATCAAACAATTTGAAAAATTATGAATATGGACCCCATGTCTACTTTTTCCCAAAATATTGTACCTATTTGCTCAAGAGAGGATCTCCTTTTCTGATTTTTATTGCATGAAAAGATTATTCAACAAGGGGTCTAAAACATCTTAAAAAATATAATGGTATTAAAAGTCTAGTTTTGAAGATATCAATTTTCGATGACCAAAATGATGCTGAAAACAATGGATAGCACGAGTTTTCCCATGGGAAAATAACATGGGATATGTGGTTTGTAGCTTTAACGCATTTCAATACGCATCCCCTTTTCGGAAATTATTAATATAATGTAGAAGAAACTTTCAATACGTTTAAATTGAGAAAAACAAGATCCTCTTTTTAGAAAATAAGCCTAATATTTTTTTAAGTGCCAATGTTGGGCCCGTATCCATGATTTTTCAGAGAGTTGGATTTATATTATACTATCGTGGGGACTTCACTTGAAAGAAAACATATTGTTTTAATAAAAACCATTGTATTTATGGCCGAAAAGTACTCATGGTGAAAGATATGACTGCCTAAAATCACTTACCATACTGCACATGGACCTTTGCATACAAAATGAAACCTGAGGTTGCTATCTAGCCATGGATTGTGAAATATAGACTTTTACTTGAATAAAATTTGTCACCAGCGTCTTACTTAAACATGCGGTGTGCCATGAGAAAGGAACATAATTCGCAAAATGTCCCTCAACTAATACGGCCTGATGACCATCAATCTGATAGTCCTGATGCTAACCCCAGTGAGTATAGAGTATGTGAATGTATCCAGGAGATGGTATAAAGACGCTCAATCTAAAAACAAAAAGTGTATTGAAAAAGTGGCGTTTTTGGCCCATCCCTTAAGAGGCCCACCCCTTAAGTAGTATCAGTAAAAATTTCCATTCTTGTGTTTTTTATAATATTGCATGTCAACAGGATTAGATATTCTTCGTCGTATCCAACATTTTAAAATCTGAATAATGGAAATGTTACTCACGAGAGGATATTTTTACCTTGTTATTCTTTGTATTCCTGGGACGCCAATGTAAGCCAAAAAATAAATAAAAGAGCATGTAAGGTATGGCAAGCCATTTTCAAAGGGCTATATCTTTAGTTCGAAGAATAAGTTAACCACAAAATCAAATGGTTCTGTTAGATCCATGTCTTATCTTCAATAAATGACATAAGGATGATAATCAAGTTGATTGAATTATCTCTTAAGCTGTCCCTTATCCACCCATCCTCACCAATTTTCCCTAATTCAGATGCAATTTTCACCAAAAGTGCAGGCCTTTTTAATAATTTTTAGTGCAAAGTTGTATTGAACTTTAAGACATGATTTAAACTGTAAAGGGGAAAAGTTAATTGTAAACCTACTTTTTGATATTTTTTTCGTGATTTTTTGTATTTTTTTCTGATATTTTAAAGTGCTTCATACTAATATTATAGAATTACAAAATAGAGGGCAGCTAAGTGCCATAAATAATTTGTTTGTTGCAACACTCAGATAGTGACTTACTCAGCGTTATGGATTATAATCCTGTATTTAACCTTGTATTGTTTGTGTATAAAACAGTTGTGTCATTCACGTATAGCTATTTATATACTGAATAGTTCTTTGTAATTACATGTACCTGGTTTTGGCTATTCAACCTAGATTCTTTGTTATATTAGGGCAGGCTGAAATGAATAAGTGTGAAAATAAAATGAATTACAGGGTGAGGCAAAAATGTCATCCAAAGAAATGTTATTAACTCATTCATCCAGTATGAGTTGAAATCATATTTAGTTAATTTTACCATGTGAAATCTTTTTGCATTTTACCATGTTTCATGGGTCCATTCCTCAAGGTCACAATTCTATGGCCATTCTACAAATGTCAGCCTCGTCCCTTCAGGCAGACCTGCACTGGTCGGTTGAGGTTGTAAGTTCATGGTCACAGAAATTGTTCTCCTACTTGTTGTAGGAGTTGACATTATCTCAGAGATAGCCCGTAGTCATGAGATGAGGCTGGCATTTTGGACCATGTTTCGTTTTATAGCCATAAAATCCCGACTATTGGGGCAGGGCCAATTAAACTTAGTAAAATGAAAGAACATTAAACAAGGTTTTATTATGCGAAATAACATTTTAACAGATGCGGAATTAGTTTGGGCTACATTTTTGGCTCACTCGGTATTAGACTGCACTTTGAAAGTATTTATGATGTCATATGTTGGGTAAAAGGCGATGATTTAACCTACTTTTGATGGCAAATTCATTTTAATATGAATGAAATAGTGGCAGGTACTATTTATATTTAATGAGCCATGAAATAGTAGGTTGATCTGACAGTTGTTAGTTGAATTCGCTATTACTACTTGTAATGGGGTTTCAAAGCCCGTGGTCACCTATGTAGTTTCTTCATCCTAGGTCAAATCGACTCAAGAATGGTATTATATTAGATGCAGCATTTATTGATTTCTGGAATCACAGCACCCCTAAGCGTAATCATAATTCCGTCGATTGACCTACAGCATAGGCCTAGGGAAAAGTAGTAGGAAGGAAGGCATAAGTTTACTCTTTACTACTTTTACATAGACCTATGGCCTAAAGATAAGTTTGGGATCCCTTATTAAAACCAAAACCTCTATTTCTAATTACAGCCCCTAAAAGCAACAACCCTGAACCAAGTGGCAGTCATTGAACCCAAAGGCATTTTTATGTGCCAACCTATAATGAGACCCCCTTTAGTGAATAACAACCAGGTAGTCATCTAAGGTATAACAACATGTTCAGTTTGTAATTTTATAGAAGGTCACTGAATCCTCTAATCGTTCATTTACTTACGGATAAACTATGAGTACTGGGTTTTATGAGAAATAATAGCAGAGGGGCTTGGCGTGAGGCTATTAGTTCTCATATGACCCATTTCGAATAGTTGATCTAACTTAAACTCCACACTGATTCTTATGAAGGGTAATTGACCCATGATCCAAGTTTAGAAAAAATCTTTTGTATTAACTATGTGGTAAATGTGTAGAGAAGTGGGTTGGTTTGATTGGTTCAGCTTCAATGCACTGCATGTATCAGGCAAGGTACATTGAAAATTGTATTTATTTTGTGTTTACAATTCAACTATTGAGTGATTGAAAATGGTTTAATAAGAACAGCTTCGGTGCACTGCATGTGACAGTCAAGGTGTAAATATTGAGCCAAACACTGTCAATCATATTTTGTGCCACACTGGTTTTAGATAGCTGCAGTGTCCATTCTTCAAAAACAATACAACAAGAATGCACTCCTCTTTCTTACTACTGTACATTCATATTCTTTAAGGTGAAAACGGTCTTAAATTGACCAATTTTTCAAAAATTCAAATCTAACTTTAAATTTTACAATTGACCTTCAATGACCTTCTCAAAGTAAAGAGGGTCTAAAAGGTATTTTTCAACTTGCTACGAATTGACCGAATTTTCAAAATCACCTACAAGTTCTCAGAAGTCAAATCTGACTTTTGAATTGACATTTGACCTCTCAAGTTCAAAAAGTTCAAAAAGGCATTTTTCAACTTGCTTCATATAATCATTTTCTTTTCAAGATTTGACTTGAACTACACGGTGATGACATTTTGTAATGGCAATGCCTTGTTCTACATGTTGTTATTTCATGATTTCTTTACGAAGTATTGGCTTCGTACCTCATACCCATGTACGTGGGTGGTGATGCAGTTTTTGAAGGGTTGAATTTTTAAAGTTTTAAAAGATTATTCAATTTTAATGCTATCTGAGGTATAAATACATTCATAGTATCCATAGATGTGAACTTCGTCTAGTGAAAGATAGATAGATACAGAGTCATAAAATAAAGCCAGAATTGTTAATTTTTTGTTTTTCATTGATTGTCAAAATAGCGCCATTCAAAGGACTTTTCAAAAGAGAAAAATCCATTCTAAATAAGTTTTAAATATGTCAGGGTATCATTTTATTTAATCACAGCATGATTAAAGATAATTTTAGTCTCAGGAATCGTAAATTCACGTTTTAGTGTAGATTGGTTCTATAGTGAACGAGCATTTCAATTAGGCAATTTTTATCGAAATAGCAAAGGTAAACAATTTTGCAATTCTGGCCTTATTTATGACTAGAAAAATGTTGGATCTATAAGACATACACGTAGGTCTACAAGTGCATTAATGCACCTACAATTCATATGATCAGAATAATCTGAAACGTTAGAATTGAACTCTTCAAAGAATGTATCATGCCCAAAGTACGCCGGCACGTGGGTACAAGGTATACGGTTTTTCATACAAAGCCCGAAGTATTGACTGAGAATATAGAGGGATCGAGTACGTGACAATATCATAATTACACAAGGCCATAATTACACAAGGCCATATTGTCAAAGGGTAAAACCCAACGCATTAAACTGTTTATTCCATAAAAATTCCAATCAGCAAAAACAATCCAATAAAATTTGAAATGAAGAAAAATGCAACAAATGTTTGGCCAAACCATTGGAGAAAATTATTATTTGCATGCACTCTGTATACATTGGTACCTGTATCAATACCTACTACATATAACACTATTCGAAAGATCATTTACAGCAAACTCCTTTACATAAGGCACTTTCGAAACCCCCAATATGGTTGATGATAAAGAAAGATACACATGGGAAGAGTTAATTCAAATAAGATGGTATTGAATCATGTTTGTTGAAACATCGCAAATGTGTAATTTTTCAAATATTCATTTACACTATACAATTCAAATATATAAACAAGTATTTCCTCTTATGTGTTTTACTAGGTGTTAAACATATTTATGTTTTACTGTACATACTTTACACGACCCAGTCATGTTGACATATCCATGCTCATTTCTATAATACGCAATTATGCAACAATGAATACACAGAGTATCTAGCACTCACCCATGTAGAATATATCATGCCATCTATGGAACATTTATAACTCTATCTATAAACATGATTGCATAAAATAGGGTACATCTAAATGTCGCTCTAAGTGACATCTTTTCATACACTTCACACTAAGGTCATGGCCTATGAGGTAAAAATGACAAATGGATTATCAGATAATGCTTATCTCATTTAGATCATTTTTTTCTTTTTGGAAATCAATCATGTGACATAGCTCAATGTTTTCATGCATTAATCTCATTAAAATATTGCTACTTTTAGGTAAAAAATTCGGCCTAAAAAAGTTATTGTTTTTGGATTATCCTAATCCCAAAGTAATCAAGTTTTCCTTTTTAGAGGTAGATCATTCCTTACAATAAATTGGAATTTTGCCATAAAAACTGAAATAAAATGCTGCATTTTTGGTGAAAATTGCTTCCGAATTAGGGAAAATTGGTGAAGATGGTTGGATTAGGAACAGCTTAAGAGATAATCCATTCAACTTGATTATTATCCTACTGTCATTTATTGAAGACAAGACATGGATCTAACAGAACCATTTGTTTTTGTGGTTAAAGTATTCTTAGAATTAAAGATATAGCCCTTTGAAAATGGCTTGCCATATCTTACCTGCTCCTTTTTACATATACAGCCCAGCCCTGGACACCTCCAGAAATAGTACAAGTAACTTATTTTTACACCACTGCCTGGAATAATATTAGTTTCTAATGCCTTGGTCACATTTGCTCGATTCATCGGCTGGCGCCCGGCCGATTGAGTAGTTTGTTCAAAAGTGAAGGCCAAATCTCAAATTTGAGGTCAGATGCGAGAACGTGTACATGATTTAAAAAAGGTACGGTCAATTTGAGAAGGAAGTTGAAATCAGTTTTGAACAAAAGACTGCAATCGTCCGGACGCCGACCGATGAATTTGACCAAGGCATTATAACTTGCGGTGGCTGTAGGCGACTGTATGAATTGTAACACGTTTGCTTAAATTGAATATGGTGACATGATGCCCATTATAATATTTACAAGGCAGTTTTATTTTTCTCACTTTAGATATATTTGTTGTCGAATCGCAAGATAAATTTGTACTAGAAAACATTTGAAAAGCTTTGTTCAGCTCTTAATCTAGTTACCCTTTCCCTCTTTAGTTCCACATTAGTTAAGAGAATGTACCGTTAGAATTACAATTCAATGTCTCTTGTTTTTTTGCAGAGAACGCATGTGCCTCAGCACCTTGCTACGGGGAAGGCGTCGTGTGTGTCAACACATTTGGCGGGCATTATAAATGCTTATGCCCACCTGAGACAACTGGGGATCGTTGTGGTCAAGGTAATAAAAGCTTAATTTTAGTAGTACAGTTTTATCTACAGTTTTGGTAAAAAGGAACATACTTATGTGACTGACATACATATTCATATTTTATTATATCTTTGTATTCATTCTACATATATCTGAATATGTGTTATTTGAAATATCAATGCAGAAATATTAAAATATTTTACAAAATACGGGCAACCAAAACCGTTTGATGCCAAAAATGGTCAAGCAGTTTCCTATTGGTTCATCTAATAACCACTATGATTTAAATTTCTTTACTAGGGGATTACTGCTTTTTGTGCTCAAGTAAAAGATGGAGGAACGTAACATGTTCTGTGTTCGACAAAAAGCCATTTTTGGCATCGATGTCAATAGAAAACGTAAAACTCAAGACTCAGATATCAAGGTAGGGTCAAATTTATATTAAAGAATTTGTGAATAGAAAAGTTAATATATAAGGGTTGTGTACTGGGTCCGGGAGGTTTTGGACATGGAGTGTATTCAGAGGGAGATATGCATATATATCTTACCAACTTATCTCCCTAAGACTCTACTTGGCACAGGATAAATACATGTACATGCTTAAGATTTGTACATGAACGTGAAAGAAAGAGTGATGATGAATGGTGTAGTGTGGGAATTAGGGAGAGAAAGAGATGGAGAGAAAGAGTGAAGGAGAATTGGTGTGTTAGAAAGTGAGAGAGAGAAAGGATTAAGGGAGATGAGAATACGTTGAAGATATATAATGTTCATTATTTATTTCAGGTCACGATGTACGATCAACGAAAAATGGGACTTTGATTCCAGGACAGGGACCATGTGGGTAGCTAAAGGTTGCAGGGGCGAGTTTTGTGTGCAATATCGAGAACCTACTACAACAACACAACAGACTACAACAGCAACAATGCCTTCCACTACAACAACAACTACCCTTCCACAAACCACTACATCAGGTACACGGGCTTGTCATAATAAAGCTATATAAAATCCATGTGATCACTTATTTTTGTAATCCTGAGAAAAACTGAAATGTTTTTTAAAGGTTCAGGTAGGTTACCGCAAATAATTTCATACGCTTATATCTTGAATATGACTATTTTCTTAACTTGAAGACAGTAATATATTTTAGATCCATTCATTATCTTAAAGAAAACTATAAACAATTATAATGAAGTCAATCGCACTCCTAGATATTTAGCTATAGCAAAGCCATCAACATATTGAAAATTAAGATCTAAAATATACATCCATGTTGATTATCGGGAAATAATGAATCTTAGCAAATGTGACCAAGACATCCCTTGTAGGACCAACATTATTGAATTGTCTTGCCCATTCCATTTCCAGAACAAGTACTACCATAGGAATATGATGACAGACACTTGGGATAAAGTGGTTTATGTAGATTTCGGTTTCGAAATGATTTCACCTTAGAAATACATATTGTATGCCCAAGTATTAGGCAACGATGAGAAAGGTGTCCATAAATACGAAGGACGAAACGAAGAGTGAAAATAAGACATACTAAGGTTTACTTGGTCTAACGGAAAGAGTTCAGTATTATGTAAAATGTACTATAAGGAACCATAAACACTATCGCGCATGATACTGGAGTGTGAAGCTCATACTGCTTTAAGGTCAAATCTTTCAAACCAGCACAAAATTATCTAATAGAGATGATTCTCGGAGCAATATTTGGTGCAGGGGACATATTTGATGTTGATGAATATAAGCAAATTGCTGTTTACGTTCATAAAATGTACATAAATAGACCAGTAACTACAATAAATTTGTATATTATATATATGTTATAATTATAAGTAAATGATGTAACAATTTTATTTAAGCACATCAAATATGGTGGATGAAATAAATAAATAAAAATAGAAATGTCGGCGTTCCTTCCCGGGATGTACGGTGATGAGAAAACAAAAAAAAAGCTCACCAAATTTTGCTCCCGGAAGTTCGGCCATTTTGAAACAAAGACAAATGTCTTTGTTTCCAGTCGATCCATCCTACAGACAGGAGGAGATAACATTGGATTATTACAACGGCCCTGTTAAATTACGACAAAGAGACAACCCACCGATTTACATTATTGACAACGGTTAAATTAAAGTTGTGGACTCGTTAATATACCAAACATTATATGATCAGATTTATATCAAATAACAAATATTTTCTATAGCAGGGTAAAAATTGCAATCTGATTTTAAAATCACTTCATCACTTATATCTCATATGTTTGCCTCCCTGCATTCGATCTCCGGTTCAGATACCGTGCTTGTTGCGTGTTTCAGTCTGTCTTACATGATTTCATGCGTGAATTACGATACATATGTATATGCCGCGGGATATATTATATACCAAAAAGGAATTGCTCACCTCCATTCGTGCTCAACAATACAAAAATACAACCAGGACTTTATTCAGTTGGTTTTATTTGGAAAAAATTGGCTCGATTTTTCAATGCTTAGTTAACGTTTATGTTTGCTCACCTGATCTCCCCGTTCCATTTAGAGTTTTAGTTCTTGATCCGATTTAAAGATGGCATACAATCAAACGAGTGTTTTAATCGCGAGCTCCTCTAACGACCCCTATCTAGCATCGTTATCACCAATTAGTCAAGGTGCTAAGAGAATAATAGTAAGTAAACCTACTAGAATTCTAACAGATACATGGGCGTAACCAGGGGGTGTGATTGGTTCGATCGCACCCCCCCCCCCCAAAAAAAAGAAAAAAGTTGAAAAAATTAACAAATTCTGGTTTGAAATTGCCATACATTGTAAATTTGTTTTTAAAATTCCGGGATGAACCCTTTCCCTCCCCGACCCCCTGTTTTTTAGGGGGGGGGGCTAATTTCGCTCCCAGGGTTTCAAACTCAAGTTTGCTGCCTACGCCCCTTGGATACATTATATGACATTATTGAGCAGGAGAAGGGGTTCGGGGCAACACCTTAAAAACCAGCTCCCATGCTATCTAAATCCAATGGTTTGACTACCACACAGATCGTTGTTTAATAAAGGAAGCCATCAATATACCGAGAAAAGCCAAATTAAGTATTGTGCCAACAAATGTAGATTTACTTCTAAATAAATGTTTTTAATGAATATTAAAAGTAAAAAATTAAACATAAACAAAACCAGCGCATGCACCCGTTGTCAATAAAACACCAAACGATGCAAGACAGCAAAAATACACTAGTATTCTTTTTTATAATACATAATTAGTTTCTTTTTGTATTATAAAATTTGGATCAAATAAAGTTGATAAAGAGATTAAAACGATTTCAACAATTATTAATTAGACATCCTGTCTCCATTTCAGAAAAAGTCACAACAATTCATGTCAGGGGATCCTTCCATTGGCACTTAGCCCTTGCACTGTTTTTTTTCAATATCTAAAACTTGGTACAGAGTCGATTTTGACCCACTGTGCAAATGGAAGGATTTCTCACCCAACCATTACCACATGTGAATGCATGACATATCATTGCAAAGAGGAGATAAAAGATTAAATGAAATTGATGTAGTCATCACTAGTTCTGTGATTTTACGAGACGCCCTGTATAAGAAATTAACATGAAATTATTTACACTAAACAATATTGTTGTGTCTTATTCAAATTGGAAGATCTAGAAAGTAGCAAAACAATATGTTATATCACGGAATATCACCGAATCCTCTTTACAAGATAATAAGTAATGTAATTTTATGTCCAAAAGGAAAGAAAATGAGATTTTTCATTACCGTCCAGATGTATATGGATCGCCCCGATAATAGGTCTTTATATTCTTTCAAGAGATACAATATGTTACACATAATTCTGATGAAGATACAACAATCACAAGTGGATGTAATTTCTCGAATCTTTTGCTATATAACCTGTTGATTTTTTGCTTGAATATTTTTGTTTCCATTCCAACATCATTTGTGTGTATGCATCGTGCGTTTTCTGATTTACAGCTCTATTATTTTTGAAAAATATGACTTCAAATGGAGATATATCAATCCCATTGTAATATACATTTGGATAATATGGGTCTCCATTCATTTTCTTGTTGTACTTATGACATATTTCTTCAGTATTCTTCTTGTCTCGAAAATCGTGGTCTTCCCATTGTTTCAGAAGTGACGCAATATTAAAGCCCCTTTTCAGTAAAACCTGTGACATTTTAATTTCTATATTGTCGATAACTGATTGTTTGTCCTCGTAGCATCTGAGTACATCTTCTTCCAGGATTTGTAATCCCGAAATGCTTGTGACGAGAAACATGGATTGGATATGTACGGGATATATCTTTGAACAGCAAATGCTCGTACCGACTAATCTTGTTTCATTATTTAGGTATTTCGTAAAGTAGGTGATCCAATGTTTGTCATTAGCGTAAGGAGGTATAAAAGGTCCTCTAACAGATGCATTTAATAGCACGAAGAATTTATACCAATATTCTCCTTTCAACTTTTTCATCTGAAGCAGGGCTTCCTTCCATGCGCATGCGTCAAAGCCAGTGTTTTCCCGAACGATCACGTATGTGTTTTCGTATTCAGGAATATCAACAGTACACGTGTATCCATTTATTACAATGACGTAGTCAACATCGCTACTTTGGTGTTTACCGTTTATTGCAAAATCAATGAAAAATTGCAAATTGTTTTTCCTTATATCTTGTTTCTTATCTGCAATTTCTGAGTAGGCATAGATAACCAATACCCTGTCGGGAATTTCTCTTGATCTCTTGTCCAAACCTTAAAATAAATACAACATATTCGTACAATAGAATAGATTTATTCGATTTGAACCTCGGAAATAAACATGCTAAACGTAATGGATATTATATATTTATTAATGTTGACCGTTGACAGATGTACATACTCATACATGAGAAGTGGTAGCACTTTTTTATTTTATTTAAATATAAATATATTATGCCAAATAGCTTGATGTGTTATAGAATATATTTTCCTATACCTCCATTTACATATTTTTGACAAAGAATTATTCTTTTTATCCATTCCCCTCCTCCCCCAGTTTTACTTCCCAAAAAAACTTATACAAAATTTGATTTATATTGTCTAATATGTTTAGATTTGTTTGATGAATCTATTTTATATGTAATGGTAGAAAATTAGAAATAAATGTAAAATGTATTTTATGACTCATGTGTATACTACACTCCCCTCCATAAGTTTGGCAACCTTTTTTCCCCATTGAACTACATGTTAAAGCCTCCTTACCTTTGAATTTTTATTTACTTAAAATGCGATGACAATACTTATACTATTAATGGAAACGTAATTTGACTTTAATTCCAATACCTCCAAATTTTCTCAATTTTTTTCCTCAATTACAATAGGTCGAAAATTGATGATAAATTTGATGAATTTTTGAAAATTGACATTCCCATGTTAACCAATGGGAAATGGTAGGTTTGCCGCAAGTCATATGACTGAATATCCATCCATTCGAGTCCTTGCAAAAAATACGAGTTGGGCAGGCAATTGAATTTGCTAACTTTATTTAACAAAAAAAATGATATATTTCTTCAGGTTCAACAAAGTTATAGGGCTTTAAAGTCAAAATTGTTTTTCAAAAAACCTCTTCCATTGAAATAACACAGGAGGCGAAAAATTGTTTTCAAAAATGACTTTGAAGCGCTGTAACTTTAATACTCATCAAATAAACTAAACACTTAGTGTTCAAAAAAGTTAGACAATTCAATTTTCTATATAAAAATATTTTTTGCTGAATCTTTTACTGAAAAGATATCCTGATTTCTGATTTGCCCCGAACCCTCAATTTCCCATTGGATTGCATGGGAATGACGATTTTCAAAAATTCATCAAATGTATCATCAATTTTCGACCTATTGTAATTGAGGAAAAAAATTGAGAAAATTTGGAGGTATTGGAAATAAAGTCAAGTTGCGTTTCCTTCAATATTATAAGTTATTTCATCGCCTGTTAAGTAAATAAAAATTCAAACGTAAAGAGGCTTTAACACGTAGTTCAATGGGGAAAAAAGGTTGCCAAACTTATGGAGGGGAGTGTATATTGTAACACAGAACGGGTGTTTGCGTGTGTGTACCACTATTATGTTATCTCATATGAATTTATTAAAACAGGTAAAAACATAATATTCATGTAAGAACCATTCAATATATGTCGTCATTGTGATATTATTTTGGCCGCTAAAGGCCACAGAAAAGACAGAGTGGATAAATCGACAATGTCTTGAAGGCCATTTTACGTTCAGAAATATGGAAATAAACCCACGTTCTCCATTTGCAACGATTTGTACCCTGTTCCCTTTTAAACGTGGTAGGGTAGAGTGATTAAACGTGTCATAGACTTTTCTTACCTGACAAGAAAGATTCTTCCCTTGTCACTTGCATCAAGGTAACACCTAGTAATATACCTAGGCCGAATCCAAGCCACATACCTTTTACAACCCAGTTCTGAAATGAATTTATAGTTAATAATATATTTACTGATGAATCAAATCAGTCTAACATGCATAGTCTCGTTATTTTCCTTAATGCGTGGAATCTGTAGATTGTAACCCTAATGCAAACCGTTTGTTTTTTCTCGCACGAAGTCCTCTTTGCCAATTGACTTCATCAATTTATCTTTCTTCATATGTATCAGTTGCTCGCACAGTTTTGCCGAAAGGCGGAGATAAATAATTTTTGACAATAGAGAGATTTCGCACATAAGTGAAAGTACAACTTATACGTATACGTATACTTTAAAGGGTCATGTCGAACTATTATATTTACTAAAATCAATTTTAAATTGTACTCAATGGACCATAACTATTCCCGATATAGAAAAGCTCCATCAACAAGAGACTGTGAATGCACTGTCATCCGCACGTTAGATTATGCACATTATAATTAAATGCTTGCTTCCGTGTCCTAGCAGTTGTAGTGTATTATAAACACGATCCTTTAAATTGAGGCATGATCCTTTAAAGTGAGTCATTACATAAACAAGTTGATTATTTCAAAGTTTTCATGATCAGTACAAGTTCAATGAACTTACAAAACGGTATATATTCGAAGATGATGAATAGGGTGTTCGGAAATTTCACTTTTTTACCTGAGAGCTAAGCACATTTGGGTTCCCATTCCTTTTACCCTCACTAACTTTGATGCAAAATTTCAGATTGCTAGGATGATGTCTTGGTTCTTGGAATTACACCTGAAATATCAGCCATTTTGGTGAAAATTCCCCCTTTTCATGAATTGCGTTCATTTTCAAATGACTTTATTTCATACTTAATTTAAGGTTCTCTAACTGTATGCAGTTTAGATACAGCTTATTACCATGTAACTTCAGTAAAGAAGTCAAGTTAAATGATTTTCCCTGCTATTTCTGACTTTAAAATTGTCGAAATGCTCGAGCGGACCGGGCTCGTAGACGGTGACAATCGACACGGCATCATCTAGCGGCCAGAGTGTAGCGCCGAGATGATGAGGGGCGGCCATCGACCGTCCCGCCGGCCTAGCCTAGCCGGTAATTTGCCATTATAATACTACATAAGTGTAGGATTTTATTAGTACTGATGCCCCTTTAGGGCCAAACGTACATCCGATATACAATTTTCAATAACAGTAAATATTGCAATAAAGTAAAGGAAATAGGATTACATTCTATGTAATCCTATTAGTCATTACTCTGATAATGACACATATGTACACGACAGGTCCAGCTTTAAATAAAACATAGATTTATAAGATCCTTGTTGTAAAGTCATAAGTCTAAAAGGATAGTCATCTGTGGTAATATAACAATTTAAATTTTTTAAATTGTCCCTCCTAGCATCATTTCAGTTGTTAATTAACAAACACTGTGATATTCTTGAAAGTATTTTCCATCAGTTGGAATAATATTTGAATTTCATAAAGTATATTGCAGAATGCTGCTATTCTTGAGATGGTAGCTGCATCTAATCAACATGCACATCATAGAACTCAAAGCACTGGTCTTGGGTTATGAAAATGGTACCTGAATCAATGGTGGGGAGGGGTATAAGACATTGTTTCTTCATACATTAGATCATTAATCAGATGAACTTTCATACCAAGCTTAAGGAGAGTTTTTGGCATTACTCTGATAATGACACTTTTTCGGAACAGTTGAATGGTGCTTGACTCATTAAGAAGCCTCATTTTTAGAAACACTTGAAGGTTAAGTCATGGATGAATCTGTAGAATCATCGGGATGCAGAAGATGATACTGTTGTAGCATTTATCCAACATTGCTAATAATGGTTCTAAGTAAGATATACTGAGAAACATTGAACCAGGCAAGTGTGATCATGCTGACACAAGAGAGGCTTGTTGGTTTAGTTAATATAGTTGAGGCCATGTCAAGTCACAACAGCAATGTCAACTACATGTATATCCCATTGCCTTCCGAAGACAGAAACCCTCACCCAAATGCCATTTACCTATTTTCCTCCATCTCTTTATATAGGCAAGCCCCATGCTCCCACTTTCATTCTCCTCCATGTTATTTTCTAGCTCACCTCATCCTCTACTTCTCCCCCCTTTCCCATCCAAGTAATTGATCTTTTATTTTGCTTCATTTCAGTCCACCTTCTTCATTTGATCAGTCCACCTACCCTACTACATGCACCCTCTGACTGTCCCTTCCGTAAACCCTACCATCCAATCCCCAAATCTGAATTGCATTTATTGTACTGCATTTGACCTCTGCTCCTTCCTACACACTCCCCTTTCTCGATCTGCTCTATGAGTATAACTCTTAAAAATCCACATATAATTATAACTTGGCCCAGGATAAATTGTTTTCTGACAAATCAGAACAAATTTTAAGCAAAATATTTGGCTTTGATTAAATAGAATATGAATTCATTCATCACGTAATTCACCCGAAAACATCAATTCATGTGCTCGTATCATTAATTGTTCTCAACTGGTATTGTTATGGGGATACTGACATAATGAGGGCAAGTAGGAATCAAAGATGCACAATACTGGGTTATAAATTATCAAAAACTTGCAAAAATCATCATATCTTAGCTTTTACCCTTTACACGTATTAACTACCTAGGTATTAGAGCAGTCACGTTTTTGCTCCTTTTTGAATCATTGTGTATATCTATAATTCTGAATTATTATGCATGATTGGTTTATCCAATGAATGTATAAGGTTATACATTTCATATTAACCTATTACCAATTGGGATGGCAAGAAGTAAAGTATGAAATAAAGTCATTTGAAAATGAATGCAATTCATGAAAAAGGGGAATTTTCACCAAAATGGCTGATATTTCAGGTGTAATTCCAAGAACCAAGACATCATCCTAGCAATCTGAAATTTTGCATCAAAGTTAGTTAGGGTAAAAGGAATGGGAACCCAAATGTGCTTAGCTCTCGGGTGAAAAAGTAAAATTTCCGAACACCCTAATGATGAACATATACAGTTGGATCTCCGTATAACGTTTTACCTACACGGTGTGGAACAAATGACCGCAAAATGAATTGGCTGAGTAGGAACAGTATCCAATCAAATACGTTAACCATCAATTTGAAACACCAATCAAACCACTAGGTTCTAGCAATTCCTGGAAACGACCCATTCAGTGGCTCAACAAATGACATACAGGGTGTTTCATAACGAGCATCTCCAAAAAGTCAATTTGAGAAGAGATGGGTCTATATGTATGTACTATATATGAGCCTATTTTATTCTAGACAAACACATTTGGATCAACTAAACATGCTACAATTCAAGAAAGTACAAATGGCATCCCTTTGACCTTTATTTATTACAGTCCGAGAAGATCTTTCCTGACGAAAAGTTCACATTATGATACACCTTGTACGTTTACTTATAAGTATAAGTATACGTTATAAGTTGTACTTTCAGTATGTGCGAAATCTCTCTAATATATCATGTTAACCTGACCTATTAGGTGTAAGAAAATATCATGTGTTTGGCTTTAAAGAGGTAAAAACAATTTTCACGGCCGAATTCGACCTCAATTTGAAAGATTTCAGTTTTTATATTATATTATTTAAAAACATAAAGGATAAGGTTGCTATTGATCTTATTTCGACAGAAAATGTTGCTACAACAGATATGAAATATATCCTAATACTTTAGGCTGATAGCTTCACTAATCCTGGAAATATATTTAAGGAATAAAGACCGATATTTTATGATTTATGGCGTAATATACGAGGGTTCTCCCATATTACGTCCGGAACTAATACTATAAAACTAAGAGTTTTTATCATTATGGGCTGATATTTAAGCAGTGTCATGTTCAGGAATTTTCTGATCAATGTATTTAATTCCAAATAAAAATAGTATGTAACAAAAAAGTTATGAGTGTCCAAACTCGCATGGTGCAGGGTACCTGGGGCACATTATTTTGTCTCAAAATTAAGACAATATTTTTAGTTTATTTGCAATTGATTTGCATTTGTTGGACTTCGCCTCTTAAAGAGAGCATCGTCTTTACTCTTTCAGTTTTTAAAAAATCTCTGAACTCACTTAGCGAATCGGAATTCGTCGTCGCACGCATTTAGCACTTGCTCCTTCCAGCTCGCTGATTGGTTGAGAATAGGTCAGCGTAGTAGGTGTGAAATAGTTTATGACCCGAGGTGTCACAGGTATCGGTTTTTGGGGAAGGACAGCTAAACTGTAATACAATAGTCTATACTGGATAGTTGCGCTGCCATTGAGGAGATAAAAACTTTCCCTCAACTGATATAAACCTCAACATATCTCTTCAATCAACTTATGATATCTTGATATATTATTGTGTGATGTCACAATACTAATTTCACAGTATCACTTGTAACAATACAACAAGTTTGAAGGTGAGTCACAGCTTTGAAAATATTGTCTTAATATTAATTGAGACGTTTTTAGGAGAAAAGAATGTGTCCCTGGTACCCCACACCATGCAAGTTCGGACATGCCTAAAGGACGAGTGTCTTAAAGACCCTATGTATGCCCCAAAGATATTTAGAAGAAATTGTACAGGATATCAAAGAACGGACTTTGTTTGATAACCAGATAACACAATTCATTCTGACCTTTACATTTCAAAATATAGGTCTTCCTATTAACATGAATGAAATGTCCTTTTGAAGGAAAAATCACTCTTCTCACATTATTCCTCTCAATGTTTCTATTTACTATCAAAATAATCATTATTTACAGTCATCCAAGACTTTTTTAATTGATCCTCTTGGTATTATCTTACATAATAGTGACAAAGCATAATGGGCAACATTCGAAAACACATAAATATATAGTCAAAATGCAAAATAATATTGAATAGTGATATTCTGCATACTTCATTGAATTCAACTGTCTACAAAAAATATGTCAGAAAAGAATATTGAGATTTTTATTCACATCACAATGAGAAAGAACAAGGGGCAACATTAGAAACACATGGAGTAATCAACAAGTCAAAAATGCATATCAATCGAATTAATATTGATCTGCTTCGTTGATATCAATTGCTCATGTACAATTTATTCTAAAGTGGCTGTAAAATACCGAATGTACTATTTTGCATCACAGTGAAGAAGCACAAAGGGCAACATTTGAAAACACAAACAATATAACAATTTCTAATAGGTTACTCTGAACTTACATAACTGTCGTACTTCTGTAGATGAGCCCACTCATGAGCACATTTTAGGCCATATGTTTCCAATCTACTTGAAAATGGTCATCTGTGTATCGTTTAGATTGGTTGGCTTGATATACACCAAATATGAGTTGACATACATCGTCTTCAGTCAAAATGGGGAAGTCCTCAAAAGAGTGTACTACGATTTAGATGTAACCCTCTGTCTCCATACAGAGGGTACTGAGTGATTGCAGTTCATTCATAAAATTCCCTTGCTCTGGGCATTTTATAAGCAACTGTCCCACCTACTAATTGTGACTTACAGTATATTTCTTCTTCACAATAAAGTTGAGCTGGATTGTTGAATGAACATTGGTTTGATCAGCCAGTGAATTGTGATAATATAAAAAATGTTCATTGACAAAAATTACGCCTGTCACATAAAGCTAAATGATTGTACAACAATCATCTCAAATTTGCATGTAAATTTATATGAATGTATAGAAAGGAATTACAAGTAATTATGTTGTTTAGAGCCATGGTAAAAAATATGCCTCTCTAGAGGTCATCCTTCAGTGGAAGCATAGATATTAGTTCATAAATTATGATATTAAATAAGAAAATACACTAAATGTATAAAACTCAATTGTCACAATCATTCTAAGGATTCTCAAAATGGCTGACATCATTCTATTTCATGCTGGAAATTGCATAAAAGTTCCATTTTTGCAAAACGCCTGGTCATTACCTAGATTTTTATATATCTCAAAAAGTACCTTAGAAGTACACTATCCTTCCAATGCATACAACTTTCTAGGTAAGAACCAGGCGTTATATGAACAAAGCAAGAGTTTATCATTACCTTCCTCTCTCTAAAAATAAGTAGGTCAGCACAATTACAAACATGACTAATCCCCCTCAATGACCCTTGTTAAATGGCTATTTATAAGAAATAGCAATAATACTATATCCCAAGGTGGTCGTAATCATGGGATAAACCCAATATCACATAATTTCTCGTGATATCATTTTATCGCCTCGTAGATATCAAATATCAACACTCATTCGCTTCGCTCACTCGTGTTGATATTTGATATCAACTCGGCGATAAAAATGATATCACTCAAAATGATGTGATATATAGAGGATATCCTATGATTTATGAGTGATATGATTTTTATCCACGAATGGATATGATATCTGCACGAGCGAGCGTAGCGAGAGAGTGCAGATATCAATAACCATGAGTGGATTAAAATCATATCACGAGTAAATCATAGGATGTTCTTTTTATTCCATAGTTAAAGTCATCATCAGAATCGTCGGAAATTAAGTCATTTAATTCGAATTTTCAAAACGATGCGGCGATGTTGACACTTAGCCTCGTTTTGAGTCTGAAGTAGCAAAAATCCATAAACCATCGCATACGACGTCGTATGTCATGGCTAAAAAACCGTATGCTATGGTTAAGTGAAAATTTGTCAAAAATATCATATTTTACCACTGATTACAAAAATACCGTTTTTATTTTCACATGTTATCCTATGAATATCATGCTAACTATGGAATAATCTGTATTTATCACACGCACGATCAAACGGGAATAGTATTTATTATTCACCACTTCGATTCCTCATATTTTTTATAATGAAATTGTCGAAAATGCAATTTTCTGAAATTGTCTGGATTTCTTTCCTACATATCAAATATCAATAGTATGTAAAATCTACCCTTTTATCATGAATAATCTTGTCAAAGATGAACTGACTGCTTATAAGGTGAATTCTAATATCCCACTTGAACTCTCCATCTACAAAAAAATCATAAAAATTACATCAAAATTGAGATAGTTATTCCCAAACTAAGTATGTGACGTTTCTGGGGTCACCTCCTTATTTGAAGCCCCTCCAACCTTCGTAATGAATGAATGTGAATC